TGCGTGCGTGCGTGCGTGCGTGCGTACGTAATATGTACTGTTGTATATAATTTATGTATAACATATTTTATATGATGTCACTAAATATACAAAAAAAAGAGAAGATTTGTAAACATCTTTTAAAAAAATCTTTTAAAAATAAACATTTTTTCGTAATTTTTTGAAACTTTAGAAATAGGGCATATATCTATCTTATTTTCTTTATTTTTTTCTATCGACATTATTAATTTTGTTAACATTTCAGTCGTTTAGATCAAAATGTCTCAGAGAGGAGGAGGAGGACGAGGACGAGCAAGTCATGGGCGAGCAACACAAAAACAGCAAAGTTCTGTGCACCAGCAGGAACAACAGCTTCCACATGCTCAGGCTTCAACGAGCACTGGGGCTGTTCGCAGACCAGGACCTGCTGCACAATCGGTAATATATATACATGGTCTGTCCCAAAAGTAATGAGACTATTTTTGATGTCCCAATTAAAATTATCAGAGGGATGGATCCATTGGACAGGACCTTTGATGCAGGATATCAGGTATAATCTGATCCTTCCCAGTTGCCACCGAGTCTTTCTAGCAGTCGATATCATCAGTAAAGTGCATTGCAATTTTTGTCTTGTCACGGTCGAAAATTCAGTAGTCTCGAATTGCAATCAAATTTTGCGTGAAATTGAGAAAATCTGATTTCAAAACGTTGGAGAATTGCTTGTATGGGAATATGCTGCTTTGTCTTTAGAATTTAATCGCATAACGCTGCTCAAAGTACAGCACAGTATGTGCTAAATTTTTGCCCATGACAAGACACAAAAATTACAACGCACTTTGCTGACGGTATCGACTGCTAGAAAGACTTTGAGACAACTGAGAAGGTTTGAAGATTCAGATTGTATATTTAATATCCCGCACCAAAGGTCTCGTTTAATGGATTCACTCCCCGACAATTCTGATTAGGCTCCCAAAAATAGTCTCATTACTTTTAGGACAGATCATGTATATTGTATATATATATATGTATGTATATTTTGTGTGCGTGCGTGCGTGTGTGTGCTTTTATATCTACATCTAATACTTTTACATACAGAATTAGAGAAATCATATTGCGGCATTGTTGCAATAGTGTCATATCTCGAAAATTGACAATTTTGAGTTATTCATCACCAGATAAAAGTACACGCCAAAATCCATCTTTTCCAATAAATAACTCAAAATGTTATTTTTCGCGATATGACACTATTACAGCAATGCCGCGGTATATAAAAAATATATATAATTCCATTTAAAAAAAATCGATGTAACTTTGACCTGACCTTGGCGACGCCACCCAAATCAAATAATATTGCTATTGAATATATCCCTTAATAAGGGTCCATTCTACCTTGCGGTCCGAAAAAGAAGGCGATCTTTGAGAATTTTTTCGGGAAAAGTGAGAGATCACATACTTTATTGTTTTTACATCTTATTTGTTGTACTTTTCTCTGTAATTTGTAATTTTTTGAAGTCAATTTGTTGACTAAGTCTATGCAAAGTTCCAGTGAAGAAGCCTTTCCGACTTAAACATGGTGCCATGGGGGAAGTACTGCAGGTCGCACCAATCATCTAAAACAGTTAAACCAATGCTCTATGGAATAGACTACGATAATTGATCTTGCATGAAAATTAACAAAATGGCGGCAATTTGAAAAAAGTTCGATTTTTGGCCTTAAATTTTGCTCTTATTTTTGCGATAAAAAAAGAAGTATTATTGATATTGATATAATCGTAGTTTATTCTATAGAGACATTCTTTTTTAAAATCGTTGGTTTAACTGTTTCAAATGACTGATGCGACCTACAGTATTTCCTCCATGACGCCATGTTCAAGTCGGAAAAGCTTCTTCACCGGAACTTTGCATAGACTTACAGTCAACAAATTGATTTTAAAACATTACAAATTAAAGAGAAAAGTACAAATAAAATGTAAAATGAAGTGTGATCTTGATCACATTTCTTTCTTTTTCGCCACAAGGTAGAATGGATCTTTAAGTGTGCTTATTATTATATAAGATGTAGTTTGCACCTTTAAACCTGCACCATTGCCAGTATAAAAAAATATGTATTATTTTTAACTATTCTACAAATGTACCAAGTTCCATTAAATTCGGCGAGTTACGGAAAAGTAGAGTTACTTGTGAATCGAATGTTTGTACTAAACAAGGTGTCCAATAAATTGCCTGCAATACTTCAGCAGATGATTCGGGATTCATAAAGAAGATAAAAAGGTTATATAAACATAAGTTCGAAAATAAATCTTTTTCGAGTTTTTTGAGGTATAACCACTTTTATGTTAAAAAAAGGTTATTTATTTTTTATAATCGTAATTAGTTATAATAATTCATTTTCATACCCAGGATTTACCACGTACAGGTATAATCTGCTTGGCATCCGTGTTTTTTATTTTTTTTCAATTTTTTGATATTTGTAAACACGATAACATTATTTTTAAAATAGAAAAAAAACAAATATTTAAATCCAGTTTGGTTAATCAAATATTAATTGTAATAGTTTGGAAGAATTCAAACGTTTTTCAGAGTTACGAATTCCTTTGATTCAGGAATAAGGATCTGCATTTATGCTAAAGGTGGTCATTTTGAACATCTTATTTAATTCGATTTAAATACTTGTTTATGTTTATCCTTCTAAAAATAATCTAATCGTATTTACAAATACCGAGAAATTGAAAAAGAAGGTTGCAAAGCGAACTATGCCTCCACGTGATGAATCCTGAAAAAAAAATTATTATGACTAATTATGGTCATTATAATGTAGCCATTATAAATTATAATTATGAACAATAAATTACAATTTTTTAAACATAAAGATGGTTATAACTCGAAAACAATTTATTTCTGGATTTATGTTTATTTAATTTTTTTTCCTTTTTTTGTCTCAAATCACCTCCCAAAGTATTGCAGGCGATTTACTGGACCGTGTGTATAAACCCAGTACATAAACAATTTTAATTTAAAATCGAATCAACATACAAATGTTCGACCCTACATCGAATTATCATCCTCAGTGTAGTAATCAAAACTTACATAATAAACGATGAGATTATGAAATTTACATAAGTATAATAAACGGTTAAATCATAAAAACGCAGTGAATCTGGATGATTGAATTCAAATTTAAAACGCCAGGTACCAACTCCATGTAAAGACAAGTAAACGTCAGATACAGAGTCCGCATAAAAATGATTGTCCAAATGAATGTGTTCATCAAAAAAAGAGAAATTTATGTGTTAATAAACAAGAAACTGGAATTTAAAAAAAAAATGTCATGTAATGGATATAATTAACGTATAAGGAACTGAAGACCCTATTAAAACATATCTTATTTAAAAATGTAATATCGATCAGGATAATACAATGCAGAATTGAAACAATTAGTTAAAAGAGGACTTGCAAGTAAAGGCAGTTACAATAACAGTCAGAAATCAGTCTAGACAAGGCATAAGGATTTAGAAAAAAAATCTAAGGAAAGTAGAAAAAATCTATGGAAAGGAGCAATTAGGTAAGAAGTAGTTTGTCAAGAATATACATATAAGCAAATAGGATTCGGAAAGAAGTTTGGTGTCGCTTTGTTTATTCAATTTTTGTTTTTGTTTCATAATATAAACCATCTCAGATATCGATCTTTTATTGTAATTAGATTCGTTGTCGAGAATCTGTTCCTTATCTTAACCAAAATTATGGCCATCGTTCATACAATGTTTAAAAATTACAAAAAAAAAATCCGCGAAAAAACATGAATAGCAGGTGGAATTGCCACCACAAAGTGATTATTGAAGTCATCAGTTAAGTGCGATATGGGCCTAGATAAAAGAGGTATGAACTCACAAAACGAGTTGTCCGTCTTCATTTACAGCACAATAAAAAACATCAGAAACATTCTTCAAAAGAGCGATTTTCATAGGATCTTTTCAAAAAGACTGCTCCACTCAGCATGACGGATCAGAGAAATTTGAAAACTGATCTATCAGACGAAAACTCTTGAGAGCCTTCACCGCCTGCAATTTCCGATGAAAAGTTTGCGGTATTCGAGCTTCTATCAAGACTTGCAAAACCTGACTATTCAAATCATTTGCGGAGCTCGATTATAAGAAATTCTATGCAGGACTTGATCAAAATTGGTCTGAGCAATGTTCTCTTTCGGTAATGTTCTCTTGATACTAATTGTAAGGAGTTTTCTGCGATACCTGTCCAACTTTGGAGCCAACGATATCCTATGAGAACGCTAATAGTTCAAGGAAGCATTTCTGTTGTAGAAGCTAAACTTTGATTTCCCGAATTAACAAAGGAATCAATTATGTGTTCGCCGAGGGAAACACCTGATTATTTAGAATATCAGAATGCATAGAAGAATGTTTCTATCATATTTCAGCATTTCTCGTATTCTTTTGCCGCTGTCGGTGCTTATGGTGGTAAAGACGACGGAGGAGGAATCTCGTAAACAAAGCTACTTGTGACGATGAAGAGCAAATAAATAAATTTGACATTTCTTCACATAGTTAGCGATTGGACAACAATCGCAGCTGGATCTGAAGGATAGATCCAGTCCAATTAAGACGCTAGCATGACGACCAAATTTTAATAAAGAAGCCTTATTTAGACAGAATTAACAATGTCAACAGTTATCGACATTTTCAATTCCGTTTCCTACGTTACTGTTTTGGTATTAGGATGTGACATATGTTAAAAATGCATGCATATATACATTGCACACATTTACTATAGCGTGCACTTTTTGTTACATCTAGTGTTCTTCTAAATCAAAACCTTAAATGTATATACAGACCTACCGTACCACCTGTTAATGACAAATTCTTGAATTCATTTAAAGACGAAAAGGTTAATACTAAAACTTTGACAATTTAAATTATCTCCCATAATTATTAATATTTACTTATGTGCCTTATATTTTAAAAAATTATTGTTAGAATTTAACCTATATCTCATATTTTTACATTATAAATATTATTACAATTACTTAATATAAACTATTAAATTGTTTATTACTGATTAAGGCTTCTTATAACATATATTTCAAAATTGTATAATGGCCCAAAGAATGGAATAGAATAATATTCCGTAGAAAAATGCAATCTATAATATATCGATTAGTCGAAAAAACTTATATTCAATAGTTATTTGATTTAGTCCAATTAAAACAAGTAAATGATCTTTTGCATTCAGACTTTAGACAGCAATTTACTGAAACCGTTAGAAGCAGCTTCGAAGAAAATAATAAGGTTAAATTGCGAATAAAAATATGTATAATTATTCTCGTAAAGAAATGACTAATTGTAAAATTTAAGAGATAATGTAATAATAACAAATACAGACATTACTGATAGGAGAAGCTTATTCCGAAATATTAATTGTATATATTCATAAAATGTTAAATTGAAATTAATTGATTTCATCGAATTACATCGACATATGTCACACATTTCTTAGTCACGCAAATGCAATATAATAGTGCTTGTAAATTATGTAAAACATTAGATGCGATTAATTGCGAGCATTTCACATTTTGTTTTATGAATTTCTAAGTTTTTGGAGAGGGAATTTATTAGATGCAAGATTAGTATCAAGTTCTTATTAAATTGATTATCAACTTAATACGTGATAGTACGGTCCTGTTTTAATCAAAAGATTTTTCTGCTTTGAAATAAAATATAAAATACAATTAAGAATTTTATATAATAACTAATTTTTACAAGTTAAAAATTGAATTATACGAAAAGTATAAATACTAATATAAATTTTGAAAATATTTAAAAAATATACTTACAAAATTGATTGTAGTGATTGATACGATGATACAGTGATACAGTGATGTTACTAGTACACGTTATCGATACGTAATATCACGGTGCACTGATTCTAACATTCGCATAGCGACAGCATTTTATATTGCCGCTTATTGCGTACTAACTCTACTGAAACATAAATATTTCCGTGATATTATATGCGATTATATGCAGACT